GCACTTGGACCGTCGTGTAATTACGCTAAACGTGGCAGCTCGCTTTCTGGCCTGGCTGTTGTGCTAGTGTAATCGCTGCCCATTGTATATGAATAAAAACTACCATAAAAATAAAAAAATGAAATTATTTTCAGAAAATCAGTGTTGTTATTTCAAAATACGAAGCAGACTTCAGAGAAACTATTTCAAAACGAATGAACCTAATTTTGGACCATCTGGTGTTCCCACAAAAATAAAAAACTTACGTACCGCCTACCCACCAAGAAAAAGGAAAAGTTGAGGTTTCATAAAAATCTAGATCAGGTACCATCAACGTGTATAAACCAAAAGTATTTTGGTTTGAGGCACTTGATATATTTTGCTCTAATTCGGTCAATTTTTAATATACCTGCTACACTACCAAAATTAAAATAAATTTAATGACATAAATACCAACCAATACTAAATTTATGGATAATATAATATTAGAGTTCAGTATAATATGTTAAAAAGAAAAGAATTGTCTTTAAATAAATATTTATTATACAATTATATTACCATTGATGGTGTATTGTAAATTTATAATAATATTATGTATAAATATGTATACATGTATATGAGTGTATAATCAATAATCAGCAATCACTTACTAGCGTCCGGTAGTTAGTTATATTTATTTGATGAGTACTTGTATTGTGACAACTGTTATTAAAACCAATGTACAATATTTAATCATTTAAAAAAATGTATTATATTAAATTGTATTCTTGTTAATCAGAATAAATTATGTGATTAATTATGTGGTTAACAAAAATGCAGTCTATAGTAATTAACAATTCTACTTACATCATTAAGATACAAAGTTTTGCCTAACCATTATGTAATACTTAGATACATAAAATAGGATAATATGTGTTAGACTTGTTTTTATTTTTTTATTAATAAAATATAGCTTGAATGTTAAAAAATTATAATACTATTAGTTATTACTTCGTGGCAGTAAATATATTTTTACGCAGTGTTTTTCTCAGTGAAATATACCCAGTAATTCTTTGTAAGAAATTAAATTAAATATTATAATATAATATACATATTTATTAAACTATAAGTAATGAACAATGAAACAATGTATTTTGAAATTATATAAAGACCTATTATTATGATAATACACGATGAATATTTAAAAATTATTATTATATTAATAATGTTTTTATTAACAGTTCAAAAACGTAAAAAATAACTTATTTATGATTATTATTTTAAAATTACTCCCAAAATAATTATAACTGTTCTTATATATTCTACTAGTATTAAAGTTGTATATAACATAAGAATTTTTTTATTGATGTAAAATAAAATATAGGCCATAATTATTATACTTCCTTTTTTTTTWAACTTAATTTAATAGTATTGTTTTTCTTATAAGAATTATAATATGTTTATGTTGTTTTCAGGCTTGGGTCYCAGCGTTGCATCTAAGGTGTTTGAACTTTTATATTCTTTTAGCTATTTTTTGGTTTGTGACATTCCGTAGTTTGACCACTAAAAAATTATACTGCATATTTCGCATTTAGTGGATCTTTCTTTATCATAATAAAACTATGTGTTATTATAATGTATCATATAGGCTAGGCATATGACTAAATTGCTGTAAAAATATTTTAAGAATTGCAACTTTATGCTATAAAGATAATTTATTACAATCACCTGTTAAATGAATGTATACTATTTTAGTCAAAGTATTTTTATTATTTACTCCTGTAAAAAGATTGGCAGTGTTTATGCATTTCAAATACTTTATCCCGTAAGATTAAATTTTAATGTTTTTCAATGTAAACAATTTCATCAGGTATCAGTTTTTTTTAAGTAACCTAAAATCTCAAAATKTAATTTTTGTTGTTCATGAATAAAAATATGTGTTGATCATATCAGACAGTTAGAGTTATAATTTGTATTAAAATTCACATAAGAAAACTTATGGCAAAGTAAATACCACAAATAAAATATCACCGTTGTAAGTCGAAAGTGTTTTTCTTTCTTGCGCGCTCGTACAGAAAACATAGTACTTATATGTTTGTTACAGACATTGCCTATCCATTTCCTTACTATCTATGTCCTGTGCAAACACTCTATCAGTTTATTTTTGTTCCGCCTGTTTCAAAAATATAATAAACAAGTTCATACTATAACATTTCCTTATTTCTTTACCTTTTCCGCTTGCACATGTACTTGGATTAATTTCAACGATTTATAGTGAATTGGACTGTGTTCCAGATACATTTTTCAAATATCCCTATGTTTAATTTTATTATACGTAAAACTTAATTTTAGTTATCTTCTCTGAATAATAAATAATGAAAAAACATAAACTCAAGCTTTAGAATTATTTTATAAATATGAATGTTGTAATTCAATAGAAATAATTTTAATTTTTAGTTTAAAAAAAATTATAAATATTATATTTATATATAATATATATAAATCATTTCTAAAAAAACCCATTAGTGTTCTTGCGGGTTTCAATTGTGTTACTGATTGTTTAATTAGTATAATACAAAAAAGTTTTAGGAAATACTAAGCATCCCGAATTATTATAACAAAATGAAAGTTTACAAGATTTACATTAATCTATTTGGTATAACTTATTTTCATTCAATAAGAGTAATAATGTCAGAAAAATTTAAAAAAATGAACAATAATTTTTAGAGTATTTTTTTCCTAAAAAGATTGTTTTTTATACATAGAAGTACAATTTTATTTTTATTTCGTTGATGCCTACTTAAATATGTGATTATTAATTAACATTTACTTTTTATCTAATTAAATTAGAAATTAAATATTAATAAAATATAYCCATCCAGATATACCCTTATAATGATTTATTTAATATAATATAACTATTTCAAAGAACATAATATAATATTATTACTAAATATTAATAAACAAAAAACCTTTTCACTGTAGATTGGTRTTAATTAAATTACACAAAAAATGCAATAAAATTAATAACTAAAGATAATTTATAACTATTTTATAAAGAGAAAAAAATATTCCATTTTAGCTTGTCATATTTTTAAATTGAAATCAAAATCCTATAAAAAAAAACTTCACTCTAGCAAATCTGAAATAAGTTTACTTGATAAATGATTTTTTATAAATTCGGTGTATTTTGTCACCATAAATATTAAATTATAATTAAAGTTTCTACAAATATTTTTAAGGTACCTACCTACATAGTTTAGGTAGGTACCAACAAATAAATTATAAATTTAAACTGAATTATGTAAATCTCTGTCATTCTTGAAGATTAATAGGATAACTATGTATTCCTTTATGAATATTTCACTCTTGAAACATATCGTAAAAATTGTTAGTCAGCTATAATTTTGTTATAATATTACTAATGATAAATTCACTTCAACTTACCGTTAACTGTATATTGTTGCATATTAACGATTTTAAACGCCAACATGATATGTATTAATAATTTAGTTCTTCACTAAAATGTGTTCAAATCGTTTATGAAAATAATAATGGAATGTTAATATTATTCAACTTTATTAATTTTTATACTTAAATTCAGATTTTTCTTGATACGATTTCCCTTAAATATTACTCTTATTCTATTATTTGTATAAGTATCGGAGAATTATCAATACAGGTTATTAGCATCATTCATAGTGATAATGTATAATACAGTATAATATAGTACAATATACAATTATACCTACACTMCTGACACTTTAATAAAATTATTTGAGTATAATTTACAGTCATATGGTCATAATATTGTTCATGGTTAATTTAGTTGTACTGAATAAATCATGTGTTATACTTTAAATATTACATTTTAGTATTATTTAAAATAAAGTGTATATAACTGTAGGTAAGTATTACAGGTGTACGAAATAAATTGGCAATCGTTTAAAGTTTTATGAGTGGAAGTATAGAACTACGAATTGATAGGTACCTGGTTAAAATCTTTATTAGAAATATGAGTTCACGTACTTATACGAGGAGCATTTTAAAAATTCGAATCCCCTTCCTTGAAATTAAAATCTACTTATATATGCATCTGAAAGAATTAATAATACTCAACAAAATATCACTAAAGTATGTATATAGATGAATGATGAGCGAATATTGAGTTGAGCAGATTTAGTTATAATTATTTATCATTGCCTTTAATATACGCGCAATATGAGTTGATTTTCAGTTGAAATGCAACGAATAAATACCAAAATTCATAATTAAAATTTCCAAACGCATAATTAAAACTTGAGCTGTATTAGTACTTACGGTTGCAATTGATTCGAATTCGCAGTATTAAAGTAGGTACTATATTAAAATATATTAGTGTATATTATATCGAGGTACGTTATTATTTTTCAAATAAATATGCCATATACCTGTAGGGTGTATAGATAGATCGCCTCCTCGTGGTACACCCTGGGCAACGTTATATAACGGCTAAAGATCTATCAAATTGGCGGCCGAACTGTCCTTATAGATCTCCCGGCCCCCAGCACTAACAACAACAACAACAACAACAACAACAACAACAACA